TTACTACGATTCGTCATATTACGCATCGTAAACCTTCGAAAGTTTATATATCGTAAACGTTCGAAATATTACACATCATAAAAATATCGAAGTACTACGATACGTAAGTTTTTCGATGGGCTCGTAACCTTACGTAAGATTATGAAGCGTAGGGTTTACGTAATACTTTGCATTATTAAATTTACTGATGTACTCAAAAAAGGATAAATTGGCATCAGTATCATATGATCATGATGCGAATTTCATAGTTAGCTATAAAAATTATGCACAATCTAAAACAACTGTAGCAAAAAATACTATGTCAACTTATATTTCTAATACCAAGCAAAAAATGATTTTACCAATTTCTCATTATGTGTTGAATCAAAAATCTGAAGCACTAAATGGGCTAACTCCTTCTCTATTGACATAAAAGTCTGATGCATTAATGCGATATAGTGCAAGTACATCTGAAATTTCTAGTAGGACTACTTTAGGTGATCTTGCTAAAGTATATTTCAATTCTGTGCAAAAAAATGCAGAAAGAAAATAGACTTAGTTAGCCCTCTCGTTCAAGAACTTCAAGGTGGATATCTTTGAATCTTTTTTCTTACTTTGCAAATCGATAGATCAAGGAGGTCTTATACTTTATTTTTTTGCGAAATGATATCTATATAATCCAGTGATAGGCAATGACCAGGTCATTTGCTTACAAATTGATAACTTTGATCATTAGTTCAAATGACTGCTAATCATATGATCTTTCAATCATAAGTTTTATGACCATATTACATAACCTTTATGACTATCGGTTATAGTAAAATGACTCTAGTTATAGATCACATGTCATTTATTAGCTAATGAGAGTATATTGATTTATTGATTTGACTAACTTAAAATAAATTAGTTTTTTTTTTATCTTTCATCTTGAAAATGACAAATAAAAAAGGTAAGACAGAAATATCAAAAAAGAGAAAGACTACTTATAATTTTCATGAATTCTTTATTTTAACAAAAAGTGATACTAATGTAATAAATACAAAAGCTATTTGCATTTGTTGTAGCAATAAGAATGGAGGTTTGCAGGCTACTCAGTTAATACGTTCTTGTTATACAACAAATAAAGCTAAATTATGTCACAAATATTTAGCAAATTGTGATAATTTCAAAAACACATATTCTAAAAAGAAGTATCTAGTATTTTAACTTGACCAGTATCTGAAGATTTTAAAAAAAATATTAATTATGGTAATTAAATAGATAAAAAATAAATAATTATAATAGAACTAGTAACTTATTTTTTTATTTTATTTTAGATGTAGATGTAGATAGTGATTCAAGCGAAGATGAAGCTGATAATGATATATATTTATATTTACCTTCTAATAAATATCAAAAAGAATCCACTTCAACCATCACTTCTTTGAACTCTTTTAATAGCTGATAACCTCAGCTTACAAATTATTTTTACTGTCTAATGTCTAATAATGATATTCCTAAATTTGAATGCCTCTTTTTTAGGATCTTTTTAACTTTATTGCATCTGATTTAAATCTTTCTTCTAGAAAAAAAATTGGAGGTAGTATTTTGTTTGATATATCACGGGCATTACAAAAAAATATTAAAAATTGCATAAAATGATAAAGATGGTGTAACTGCTACGTTCGATAGTTGGATAAATGTTAAACAGGAATATATCTGGGATGTTATACTTATTATATCACAAGGACAATCACTTGTTTGAAAGGTACAAGAAATATCATTACAAAGTTCACGAACAGAAGATGCTATACGTCATATTGAATCATTAATGGTTGAAGTACAAGAAAAAGGAGTAAATATTAAGGCTTTTATTTCAGACTCAGCTGATGAATATGCAGTTACTAGGTATACATATATTTGATTTTGTTAATTTTAGTTAATTAATATTTATTTAATTAAATATTTTTTATATAGGCGTCAATTATGTTGAAATATCTATCCAAAGTATTTTTGCCATATATAACATATTAAATGAATTTGATTTTTAATGAAATATTTAAGAAAAGTGAGCTTTATAAGCGGGTATCAATTGAAGCAATTAGAATAGTTTCATTTTTTCATAAATCAACTTATTTTATGGAACATTTACATGATAAACAAATGAATATTTACAAAAAAACTATTTCTTTAATATCTCCTGAAGATACTAGATAGAATAGTTATTACTTTTGTTTTTATACTATTTATAAGTCTCAAGCTGCTTTAAAGGTACTTAAATTATTTTTATTATAATTTACTATATAATTAAATTATTAAATTAAATTATTTTTATTAGATTTTATTTACTAAATTTAATCCATATCACGCTAATGTATTTTGAACTAATGGACAGTTAAATATTCTAGTAAATAAACAATTAAAGCATAAAAATAGCGAAAAAAAAATTCTAGATAATATAGCAGATATTATTAATAATCCTGAATTTTGGACCAATATTTTCGCTTTACAAAATCTTTATTTCTATTATGTGAATTTCTTAATAAACTTCAAAAAAATATAGCTAAACTTTATAAAGTTTTATACTGTTTTGCATATATAATGAAAATATTTACTATTTATCTGAATTTTATTTTTAGTGTAAAAATGCATGAAAGAATAGAAGCTCATTGGCATAAATGGGAATAACTTTTACTTTTATTAGCTTTTATTTTACATCCAGATTATAAATTAACAAAATTTCAAAATATAACAAATAATCTAACCTAGACACATATTGATTAATGACTTAAATATTATTATCAAGCATGGTTTAATACACCTACAGTCTCAATTTTAGCAGAATTAATAAAATATAAATGAGGTGAAGACCCATATAATTATAATTCTTTTTTATAATTTAAAAATAATTTGGTGAATTTTTAGAAATCAACTATAGGAATTGGATTAGAATTAGCACAAGTTGCTATTCATATATATAGTATTTGTGTTAACTCTGCTTCTGTAAAAAGATTATGATCAAATATGAGATTTTTTTATACTGATAAATATAATAAATTACAGGTATTTTTATTATTATATTAATTTATTTATTTTTTTTAAATATAATATAAATTTAACTTTATTTTTATTTTTAGCATAAAAAAGTATTGGCAATGAGTCAAATCTGTGGTTACATAATGTATAATCATTAATTATGTGAAATAAATCAGCAAATAAATGTCTCTATATTGCTACTCTAATTATATTAAATGATAACAAAACTAAAACTGAAAAACCCAATATTCAAAATATAATTGATGATGATTGGAGATTAAGTGATTCAGAAAAAATCAACATTTAAGATAAAGATGATTTTAATGAGAAAAAAAAATAATAATGAAATAGTAAAACTTATTAAAGAACATGAATTACAATGGAATAATTTAATATATAAATGGATTAATGCAATTCAAAAAGAAAATCAAGTTGATAATAATGATGATGAAATTTTTTTTAATAGAGAGTGGGATATAGATTTTAGAGTAAAAGAAAGATAAATTCATCCAGCTGATGATTTATAAGTAAAGTGAAAATTAGAATCTTTGTTTATTACTAACTTAGATGAACTGGTATATTTAAAAACAGATTTTAATATTTTTCTGTAATCTGATTTTTTTAAACTAATAAAGTTTAGATTGTAATAAAGCAATTTATATAAATTTATATAAAGAAATTTTATTAGAAATAAATTAATTACTTATATTATATTTTGATTGGTTATTATTATAATCACATGATTTTGGTTATAAAGTCATATAGTTTTCAAATAATGACCAATGACTAGTCATTGGTCATATAAGTCATAAAGGTCATTGAAGGTCATAATCCAACACTGAGTCAGACCGGTCTGATCACAGACCTTAACATCCTTATCTGTAACGACAAACACCCAAGAGGCGGAAATTCTTTCTTAGGACTTGATAATTTTCTGTCTTTCTCGTGACGACATACACTCAGGAGGCGAAAAATTCTTTGATAATAATTCTGTCTTTCCCGTGATGACATACACGCAAAAGGCGAAAAATTCTTTCGTGAGAGTTGCTAATTTTTCTATCTTTCTCGTGACGACAAACACCCAGGAGGCGAAAAATTCTTTGATAATTTTTCCGTCTTTCCTGTGACGACATACACTTATGAGGCGGAAAATTCAATGATAATTTTTTTGTCTTTCCCGTGATGAAAAACACCCAGGAGGCAGAAAATTCTTTGATAATTTTTCTGTCTTTCCCGCGACGACATACACTCAGGAGGCGGAAAATTTTTTGATAATTTTTCTGTCTTTCCCGTGACGACATCACATGAGAGGCAGAAAATTCTTTCGTGAGACTTGATAATTTTCTGTTTTTTTCCATGACGCCAAACACCCAAGAGGAAGAAAGTTCTTTTGTGAGACCCCGCCTTTCCCGTGACGACAAACACCCAAGAGGCTAATTTTTCTGTTTTTCCCATGACGACATACACCCAAGAGGCCTTCTGGATGAATTGCTTATTTTGTAGAATAGGGTTTAGTAGCAATTGATTGCAATTCGGTTTCGAGCTTGAGCGCAAGTATTCAAGCACTTAGTTAATGTCAGTGAGCTATCTCTTTGTCACAATAGTTGAATCTGTATTTCTTGAATAAATCAATCGCTGAATAATCGTGACTATTATCGAAAAAAATACTGCAAATATGCTTTCCATTCTGATTAATTGATCGGGTTACATTATAATAAACGAATTATCGTTGCATTCTAAAAAGTCTTCGAAACAATCATATTATAAAGAAAACTCAAAGACATCATGAAGGCATTTAAAGAAAATAATAAATAAAATTTTTTTTTAGCAAATAAATATTAAAAATGCATAAAGGTTCATGAGTGATTTTGCTTGATTGTTCAATATCTGTGGTATGAAAATATTTCTCTGAAAGAAACATAAATAATTTCAGCACATTTATCATCGTTATTATTCAACATCATGAAAACGTAAGGTTCGAAATTTTTATTTTATTTTATTTTTTTATTTTTTGATCTCGTAAATTGGATTTTTATAAAAGTTTTATGTAATTCTCGGCGCTTAAATTATTATGTTATTACAATAATGAATTACAACTTTGACTTAATTATTTCTTTAAGATATTCACCATTAAAAACGTCCTTCAAAACTTCATTGTAACCAATAAGTAGACCTTTTTCTTGAGCCAAATTCAAAGGATCCTTTTTAGCCCAATTATATAATGCTTCGTAAACATTACCATCATATCTACCTAAAGCACTACTCAACATATTATCACTAAATTCCCAAGCATCAACTAAACCAATGGCATTAGGTCTAATTTGTTCTAAGGAAATTTTAACTCCCGATTCTAAAATTTCAATATGTTTTGAATCAAGATAATTATCTAATAAAAATTCCCCGGAATATTTTAAAACAGAATTTGCAAAGAATAAATTAACTAATGTTCTCAATATAGGATAAATGTTTGGGTGACTTGATTTAATTGATTCAACCCCTTCATTTGATGATATAACTATAATCATATAACAGTATGCTCTTGATACGTTAACTATATCAATCATATGATTTGATTTTGCACCTTCATATCCTTGTGGATGATTTCTTGAGGATTTTTCGAGATTAGAAATGAGTTGTGCGAGAAGACGCGTGTGACGATGTGTCAGAGCCTTCACTTGTTCATTTGGATCAATTAATTCCTCCCATGTGGTTGCTCTACTACGTTCAGAAAGGATCCTTGAAGTATCTTTAATATAAGAAAGAGCTGCAGGAGTCGGTCTACCATTCCTTGCATTTTCAAATGCTTTGATTAGATAACGTCCTGTTTGAAGATATAGAATCGTGTTTTCACCTAAAAAAAAAGGGGGAAAGGTCAATAAATTAAAAGAATTCGGAAAGTTTCGAAAAATTTAAACCAACGCTTAATATTACCTTCGACTGTAGGATATTGAGCGTAAAACTCTATCATGGATGGAATACTAACGGTGTAAGAAGAAATTTTAATACCGTTTCAATCCCCAAGGAAAAATTGTTATTGAGCCGCACTTACCCACTAAAATGCGAATATCCATGACCTGCATAATAGATTTAATTATAAATCAAAAGGAAAAAACATGTCATAAATAACGAATAACCTACCACCGCATGCGCGTCTCGCATCTTCCATGGCATCCGAAGCCAATTCAGTACAAAGCGCTTTTAACCCCTAAATAAAATTTCTATTTGTCTTAACATTTGCCCTTTTCTATATCATTTCCCTTACTTTTTTTTTTTTTTTTAACAAAGAAGTAAATACGTACCGAAGAAATGGCATGAATATCTGCCATCGAACTAATATCACCATCACCAACTTGCTTTTTATTAATTTCGTAGGAATCTCTCATCCAATTTCTAACAAAGTGAAAGGTATATACAATTGATAAACTATTAAACAGGCGATATTGTTGAAATTGGTAATCTAATATTGTTGATTCATTAGGATTCTTTATAGTATCGTTTCCTTGTTTTCTTACAATAGAATAACGTATAGCGATACATAAAACTTTTGCCAAGAATAACGATGCTTGCTCGATAATATCCACTCTACCAGCTACTAAAGTTCCATAAGCCATTTTTGCATGTGGTGGAGTTGAATATTTCCCATCTCTTGATACTTTGGAAAATTTCATAAACATCTGATCACGTGGAATTCTCACATGATTAAATCGAAGGAATCCTAGTTGGTTTAACGAGTCATTTAGATTAAGACGCTTAAAAGAAAAAAAAAAAGAATTTCTTAATTGTAAATTAGAGACCGTTATCAATATTATTAAAACCGAATTTGGGACCAATATCACCAATTTCGATTCCCGGTAAAGGTTTATGATTTTCTCCACGTAATTGAACAATGAATGGATGAATTCCATAATCTTTGCCATCAATTATTAAACGAGCAAACACAGCCGCATGCGTACTTGTTCTCGCAAGAGCACCTGGCCACCTAATTATTAGAACGAAATTTAATCTTCATTCTCGAGTAAGAAAATGAGGGCTGATTTTAAGAAAGATAAATTCACCATTTAATTGATGTAAATGTTGGACAATGAATGTCAAATTCATCCTTAAAAAAAAAAAAAAAAAAAAAAAAATTAATATTAAGTGGCAATAAATATATTTTTGTTTAAAAAAGAGTTGAAATCCTACAGTTTCATGAATGTAGGTTGCAGTCGTTTCCAATCTTCTAACGTTAGAACCATGTCCCAATTCAGTCTGCACGTAACTAATGACAAAAAGTTTAGATGAACATCCGAATCAAATTAAACATATTATTTGTGATATATACCATCCAAAAATCGCATAATCCTTAGCCAAAGGTAACCATTTCTGTAATTGTTCATCAGACAATTGTCCTTCAAGAGTTGGAATGAACAAAAGGTCATGCTACACGTATATGTAAAATAAATATATATTATATACTAATATTCATTGATGACATAAAAAAAATTTTTAGTTACCAAAATAAGAACATTAGGATCACCGGTTTCTGATAAAAGATAAAACCAATCATCTCTATCAAGATCATATTGCTTCTTATATTGAATTAACTTTTTCAATTTTTCTAAAGTTCTAACATAATATTTATCACGTGAAAGGAAGAATTTATCATCATTTGTGAACACGGGATATTTATTCGGATCCACCAACGAGCGAAGGATTCTTTTTTTTTCTATAAAAGAATTATTTAGAGAAGATTTTAAGGGAATTAATTAGAAGATTGATTCATACCGGTTCTTTTTGGACCACCGAGAATGAATTGAGTTAATTCTTCAATGGGAAATTGCACCGCTGAACGTTCTTGTGATAAATTGGGATTAACCGACGACATCTTGATTATTAAAATAATGAAACAAAAAAAATTTTAACTTTTGCATGCATTCTGAATGATAATCAAACAAATTCTTTAATACCTTTGCAACGGATTCTAAGTTACCTTATCAAGAAGAAACAAGTGTTTTCGTAATCAAAGTAAAAAAAAATATGTTACGATTCATACATTTACAAATCGCACATTTATATATATAACCTTATTTACCTTATTTGGGAAGATTGCTAGAAAAACAGGAAATTTTTCAGTTGTGTAATTATAAATTCTCAAAAAAACAGGAAAGATTCAGGTTCTGAGAAAAAAAAATTTCTCAAAACCATATTTCACGTGATATTATTACTAATATATTTTTCTATATTTGAAGAGCTAATAAAGAAAATAATAGATACTGTATGTTTAGAAATTGAAGATATTTAACGAGTTGAGAGGGATTATAAAAAATGAATGACAGAGCGTAAAAAGAAGAAATAAGGAAATAACAGCGACAATAAACATATTATTTTTCTTTCGTGCCATGTCGTTTATATGTTTTGATCTTTTTTTTTTTTATCGCTAAAAATGAGATAAAAAGTTATATATTATAATACAAGTTTTGAGTTTCTCCTAAACTTTAATTTTTGCATTTATCATCTTAAATCGAATACTCCAACTAAAATTTTCTAATTGCAGAGAAATCATCTTTTAAACAAATGTTATTTTATAATGATGAATTATTTTCGCTTTTATTTAATCGGCTTGAAACCGGGTTTGGTTTTGTAAATGAGAATAATTTAACTTGATTTTCGAGGATAGAATGTCCGATATGTAGATAAAAATTCTAAACGAAAAATGGGAGTCATTTCTGATCATTACGAGACGAAATGAAATATTCAAGATGTGAATTTCAAACTTTCAACTTTCTAAGCTTCTCAATACCTCCTTTTTAAGAAAAATTTAATATGTTCGCATAAACACAAAGTTCGCGAGAAACCTTTCAACAAATAACGGACTGTATAATGGTAATATTATGTAATGAATTTTCTTCCCACTACTAATCACATGATTAAATCGTTAAATTCACGTTTCAAAGGTCATTCCTTAATACTGTAAGTGCGGAATCCATCATCCTTTAGCCGCATAACGTAATGTACGGATTTGGTAATAACTAATAATTTAAACCAGCGAGTAAACATATGATCCAAAATGTTCTGAGATTAAACCCTTAATATATTTTTTTCCCCATTCTATTAATGGAAATGCACATGTTTTTATTTATAGTAGGACATTTGTTACATGGTTTATTTATATTGTTTGGAACTTGCTCAGAATTTTCTTCTCGTGTTCGCACACGATTCAAGTTTCTGGTAAAATCTTCAATACCAATAAAATCTAGTGCTTTTTCAGCAAATTCTATAGCATTATTATACAAAGAAACGGCTAATTCATTATTTTCTCTTCTTTCATGTATTAACCCAAGATTATTAAGAATAACACCTGCGCATTCATCACAATCTCTGTTCCCATCACCGTTTTTAGCTATAGATAAACCTTTTCTTTGTTTTGCATATAAGCCTGCAAGTAAATCTGTGATCGATATACAATCTTTGTTAATTAATGAAGTACTCGTAAATATTGAGGTATTTTCTAATACTTCATCATCTTCATTTAATAATTCAATAACATTTCCTTGTAATAACCCAATTGCCCATACGAGATATTTTCTGCTGTAATATAATCTTGAATTCTAATAAGGCCCCTGATTACGAAGATATCACATTAAGATAACCGTATCGTACACTTTGGGAATAATTCTCCTAAGTAACATAAGTGTAATCATGTACACTTTGGCCATTTTAATACCAGTAAACTTAGTAGATATCACATCAATTATCATGACGAGGTTCCAATCATCACAATCAGGGGCCCTATTTTCTAATATATAAATCTCCCAATTTCTTTGCAATACCAATCACCTCGCTCAAATCTTCTTTCCTTCCCTCGATGGATGTTGTAATAATAATTCCAATATTTGTCTGTATTGCAAGTTTGCATCTTCTAAATTTCTCCTCCACACATAATTATCCCCCCAAGGATTTTAGAATATCAATAATAATTTGATCGTTTAGATCTAATTTATCCCGTTCAAATATATTTTGTAATGCTTGTCTTAAATAAATTTCTGCTTTATGCGATATTTTTGTGATCCTCTTAGACAATCTCTCGCTGGACGTGATAATTTTGTAGGTGTTGGATATAGAAAATGTTCAATATAAAAATGATATCCTCTAATAATCCAATTATCACGATGTATGATAAACTTATAAATAAAAATGTTAAAAAACGAACAAATTCTCGTCCTGCTTGCTTAAATGCTATTTGAAATGTTGTCTGTTGACGTTTTAATGGTGTATATGTATAAGTCGTTGTCTTCTGTCTAAGATGTGATTGAAAAAATGTATTATAGTTAATCGTTAGAAATTTATTATTTTGAGTATATCTGAACAATCGAAAACGGAATGATGCTATTCCCCTCGTTACTGGTAAAGTGTGCATTGCTAGAGATTTCGAAGTGAACTAAACTGTAGTTGAAAGAAAACGTGATACAACTATATTATCATTGATGTGAACTTTAACGCAATTTCTAAATCCATTTTGAACTATTGGAGAGAATATCGACGAAAATCCAAAGCGACATTGTTGTAAAATCATAATTAAGTACAACCAGAAAAAAAAAAATTAAAAAAAAAATAATTAAATAAATTCCGAGATTTAGAGATTTAGATGTCCAATCATCATTGCTGACGATCCATTCACGCAATTTCTTATCAACATTTGTTAAGAAGAGTATGGATACGAAAACTAGTATAAAAAAATGGATAACATGAAAAAATGGTTTGAAATTTTATAATTCAAGGAAGGAAATGCCTTTACTATTAATATGATTATAATGAGCACTTTTCTTTTCTTTCTTTTTAACACTATTTGTGATCATTTAAGCGAAACTTGGAAACCACATTAACAAGGAGGTAAATGAAAATTAAATATGTTCTTTGCGAAAAGAGTTGTAAAACTAATTTATCTTTCTTTTTGTATTCCATATGAAATATTGTTAATGAAATTATTTATAATTATAAAAATTGTAAGAACTTCATTTGATTCATTTGATTTATCATTTTTGCGCTGATTATTAACCATCAAGAAATTTAAGTACAAGTACAAGTAAGTAGAATGAACCTTAATCTACCAGCATATGACCCAGATTTCATTGAAAAAATGAATGACAAGATAATGAATAAAATGGAAGAGTTTTCCCAAATCTTCTTTAGGTTTTTCATTAAACATCACTTATATTTATTATATTTTAAGAATAATAACCTGAATATGCTTTGTATAGTTGATTTGGAATATGCTTTTCAAGTTGAAGAGGCTTGGAATTCTAATCAGAGTAATCGAAATAAACCGTAAATTCATGTGTTGAATAAACATTCTTGCATTGTTTCTTATCCACATGGAAGCTAAACCAAAATTCATCTCATCTTATCTTTCTAAAAAGGACTTTGGTACACCCGAAGAAGATGCTTATAGTAGAGATATAACAATAAACGCGTTATTTTATAATATACACACATAAAGGTAGATTTTTTTTTTTTTTTAAATTTAACGCGAAGCCTTAGATTTTTTTTTTTGAATGGGCAAGTCAGATATGAAAGAAGGATTATTCGCACCCCACTTCCCGCTTATGAAACATTTAAAGATGATCCGCTTCGAGTATTGATATGTATAAGATTCGCAAGCAGATTTCAATTTGAGATTTTTGATGATGTGAAGGATGCCCATTATAAAAAATGATAGTATCAAAGTAAGAACGTATAAACGTAATAAGTTGCAGCAAATTATTTGTTCGTGATCGCATATTAACAATTTAATATTCCAATAGATAGCATTAAATGAGAAAATAAGTCGGGGAAGAATTGGATTAGAGGTTGATAAAATGATCAAAGGTTTAAATTCAGTTATTATTTATGGTATATCCTTGTGTGTTTGAATTAAAATCTTACTTTATGGGTTATATTTTAGGACATGATCCCACTCGCGCCATTGATTTGATTCTTAATTTAGGACTTTATGATATAGTTTTCTCATCACCTCCACAAGAAACCATCGTAGCCGGAAAATTTGAAGATTCAAAATTTGTTTAAATACAGCAAAATTCTTAAATGGTATGTATTATATCATCTAAACCTAATACTGAATAATAAATTAACTTATTGTTCTTGTGATTTTCTTAGTTTGTTTTCTGATGAAAGTAAAAATTATGAATTCCATCCTAAGTTTCGTCAATTAAATGAAGATGAAAAGCGAAAATTATATATGGCAGCCTGTACATTACCTTATAAAGATATGATATATACAGAAAAGAGAAAGAGGCATCCGGCTTGCCGTTTTTGTAATCCGCGAAGGGTTAAGGGTGTGAATTTACTTTTTTTGTTTTCTAATCCGAATTTTGAGAAGCCCCAGCAAATAGAGTTGCACTCGGTAATTTATACATTCATTGTATTTAGAAAGTATCGTAAAAAAAAAAATATTAATAATTCTTAAAGGTTATTTATTAAATAGACTATAGGATTATTGATACGTGAACTTGGATCTGGATGGTTAACTAATTTACTCTGCTTTGTCCAATGAGTTGATATCGAAATTTGACATTATGGACCAAGTTAAAGAAATTAGTGACAAATATACAAAGTTAATTGAAAGAGTACAAGAATTAAAATTGGAAAACG